CAGGGGCCCAACTGCGGGATCGACAGTGATGAACAAGGTACAGAGTACGTCGACCAAATTGATACTACGTTGCCGGATCGACATTATTCAAGAGATACGGCGTATTTGTCAGGGGACAAACACATTTGGGCGAAATGCCCAAGGTAGAGGAATCAATAAAATCTGGCCAGGGAGAAACCAAATCTTTGCGCATTCACGCCGGCTCTGTAAGTCAAGCCCTGGTCATTGTTCTAGTCGCAAGTATTATGCAGCTTTAAAGAGGTTTAAAATTGCTCAGGTCGAGGCGAAATATGCTAGACGCGAAGGGGAACTAGAATTGGAACTACACAGGGGCATAGCGGAGATATGGGGAGACTAAGCAGGCAAACGTTTGACTATTTATTCCGAGCTGGTTTTGGAGGTAACTAAGCGCTTAGTGGTGAAAGCTAGAGAAAAATTGTTGTAACCGAGTGTAGCTAGGCGCGAAGCGGAACTAGAACTTTTGCTTTCTGATACCGAGTGTAGAGTGGATCCAACGAGAGCAACGGTGAAGGGCCTGGAGGTAGATCTAGAAAGGCCTCAGATAGATGCGTAGTTAGACGGGTCAGGTGATGGGGACTGCCTTCTGCGGATAGTGACGTGAATACAGACGCGGATTTGGATGGGGATGCCGGTTCCAAGAGTGGTGGCATTAGCGAAATGGGCTGATTCAAGGAAAATGGTCTTCTTTATCATGGAATAATAAGCAAATCGGGGTCGCCAGATTATGTTGGCGATGTTCCCCAGGTTATTGTTCATGCTCCCGTGTTTTCGTCTCCCCGCTCTGCGGCCGTTCCTATTAATCCAACAAGTATCTCTTAAACTTCGGCTAATTTTGCGCACGTGTGACAAACAGTTACGGTCGGGTCACGTTAAGCATACCGGTTTGAACGGCGTTGATCACGTTTAGGAGTCTGCCCTTCGTGCGAGCCTACGTACACTGACTAATACGTATTATCAATGTTTCTCCCCTGTTTCCACAGTTGCATTGACTGAGCATGAGCCAGTTGAAATTGAAAAGGCTTTAGTAGTTGAAAACCCAACACTGCGCGCAGAACCATCTACCACAAAATTGACATCTCTGTGGTCACACTTGAGGGGTATAAGCCATGACGAGCTCACAGACTGTAAGGCCAGCATACCCAGTTGAAATGATATCGTGAGACAAAACCTACATGGAGTGCTTCAGCCCCCTTCAGAAATGTTGAGTGACGTAGCATGAGGTGGCTTAACCAGAGCAAGAAATAGATCATTTAAAAACACTTCTTTCTTGTCCAGCTCTTAAAATGCAAGTGCCCATCCAAAACGTATGGTAAGGAAAAGTTGGTACACACAAATTGTCTCAGAAATCATACCTGAAACTTGAATAGCAGACATCTGTGTACCGAAAGCAGTAAATAGGTGGACGTCTCGATCGTTTCGAAGGGAGTCCAAATAAATTTGCCCTCTATACTATCAATACTCCGCCCAGCTTGATGACAGTCTTGCCTGGTCACCGGACATGGACGCTCGCTGGGTGCCTTATTAATCAGCCCAGATGAAGTTTAGGACGCGCGTAAGCTCAGTGTCCGGTCTGTTATTCTTTAGAAGTATGAGTATGAATGCTAGAATAAGCACTCTTAGCAGTGGTGCATTTCTTTTAGCGGCAGTATCCTGCCCAAACTCAATAAAACGTAACACACTTTTCGTGGACAGAGGTGCCAGGGCCTTAGACATGGATTTACCCAGAATAGAACAAACCCAGATTCACACTCTCTATGGGGATCAAGCGAAAATGAGTAGACGTTCTGTAAAGTCCAACCTACAGACATACTGTAGTAGGTCTATAGGTAGTTTTTGAACAGAAAACTTTACGACGTAAAGGCATTTTAGGACTTGTTATATTTTTTGAATAGCACTTTATTTAACCCATAAGCTAATCATTTAACCTCATACAGATTGGGAGTGCATACTAGGTGCCGAACTCTTACAAAGCACATACGGACCCTATTTTGTGTACTATTTACTGGCCTCGGGAAGCATGATAACTAGAATTAACACTAGCCAAGGTACGTACTTCTAGCAGCAGTATCTTGTTAGAAGCCTAGTAAAACGAACATAACCTGATGGATAGAGTTGAGAGGGTGGAAACCAAGGCAAGCTCTGCTGTGCTCTGGGCCCCAAACATGTACTCACTCTGAATAGTTGAACTGCAGTTTCAAATTCCCTTGTTAATTATGAGCCTCAGCGTTGACTTTAATCAATGTCACCTCTGGCAAATGTTAGTACCAGTACTAACACACAGCTACATTGCTAGCTAATGGGTAGTCGTAGAAATTTGAAACACCACAGCACTGAGTGCGAAATGAAAGGGCTCCTTAGGCCTTAAAGATACAATTTATATATAAATTATTGAGATGCTGATGTGAGAAATAGGAAGTTCAAAAGCGCAAGCCTTTTTTTCAAATATACGGACTGACTGGCTTGACTAGGCGGGAGAAATTATTCACTGATAGTGACTATGAGAGCCAGACAACTTTAACCGAATATTCTGCCTCCGCTACTGTGAACTGGTAATTTCCGATGGAGTTGGAAGCCTACGCGACGTGACCGCTGGTATAGTTGATATAGGAGGATGGCAAGCAGAATTAGAAAATAAATAGCGCTACTTAGCTCCGCCAGAGTGATTAGGAGATTCTGGTAGCCAGATTTCAGATGAGATCAAAACACCAGGCGCACCGTCTTTCACCACAAGGGAACAACGTAACCGTCCAGAAGTACACACTTTTGACAGGCATCCAAGAGAACATCAGTGAGGCAGACAAGGGTCCTGCCGGTGATGTGGAAATGCAGTTCCCTCCTGGTTCTGTTTC